TCAAGTGGGGGAGAAGCGATCAAGGTCAAGTCTGGAAACTTCCGATGACATTTTTCCACGTGCGACTTTTCACGCCATGTTGCATTATAACGACGTGATTGAGGTCATGATTCGGATCGTCAGGTAGGACAGGGCGGCAAGGCAAGGCAACTAGAGCGCGTCAGCCATTTTCTTTTGTTGGCACAGTGGTGGGTTCAGGATTTTAGTCGCTAGTGCTTCTGCCGTTACAAAGTGACGTTGCAAACGTATTTCGAACTGTTTGGGGGCACTTTGTAGATGACTTTAAATGCATCGTTGTCTGTCTGGTGTCCGGTATCGGTGAGGTGGGTCACAATCGCACTGGTCATTAGTTTCTTGCAACCGGTGCTTGGCCAAGACGGTTTGTGTTCTCTGATCCTCTGTGAGAACTGTCTCATCGTCCGTTTTACATAACTTGCCGAATATGTGTTTGTGAAGTAATATGTAATCATGGATGAGGGAAGGATGCACCGCACTACTACAGAGATACCATCCGAAAAATGGCCTCAGTCATGTCGTCATAACGCAACATGACGTGAAAAGTCGCACGTGGAAAAATGTCATCGGAAGTTTCCAGACTTAACCTTGATCGCTTCTCCCCCCACCCAATTTTCCCCATTTTCTTCCCCACTTGAACTTGAAAGATATTGTTGCACTTTCACAGTTAACCCCAATGGACCGGTCACAAATATTTCTACATCATAGATAAACACAGAACTGTAAATGTTTGAAAACGAAGTTACAAAAACAAGCTTGTTCGATATAGTTTTTGTCCTTGGATATTCTAATGGGAACCTTCCATGATCTTAGTTTGTATTAAAGTTTCTGTCTCAGTGTTTTCCCCAAAATCCGCTGAAAGACAAGACTCATAATGGAATCATGGAATACCTGGTTGAAGAGTACATATGTTGAATTTGGCTTTGTTGATCTTCAGTTTCCCAGGTAATGGATAGCACCTTAAGGTACATCGGAGGACTTAGGAATGTGAATCCCCCAGGATCAGCCTAGCGCATAGCTCGAGGAGAGGATAGTTTAAGTAGTTTGAATGTCCGCATAGTTGCCATTACGATGAGACTGCACTTTGACGTAGTGTGATGGCTTGTGCACCTCTGTGACCCAACGAGCTACACAGGATGGCTTTTGTTGAGTCAAAGAACTAATCCTATTTGGGAGGTCAATGGGCAGAGGTCAAACAAATTCCAGTCTCGTGGTCCTCTAGGTTGGGAGTTCAACTTGAGTTGGCGTCTCAGTCGGCCAAACGNAGCAATTGATCCAAATTAATGGGACTCTAACCCACCTTAACCGCTGCCTTGCATTTAGGTTCTTGTTTAGTGGTCGTACTCCCTGGCAGTCCCCGTCAATAAAGCTACAATGAACACAAACTGAAAGGTGTACATTGTAAGCTTGACAGGTGTCAGTGAAGTTCGCTTGACTGTATCTCGCTGCACGATGATTGCGATGACATAGTCACACAAGCGGTTCAGCTATGTTGATTTCCTTAAGGTTCGAAGACTTCGATGTGAGTCACTCACATCGAAGTCTTCGAACACGTTGTGTGGTGCGAAGTGTTTTCAAGCGTCACTTTGGCGCAATCCTTTGCGGTAAATTGCTAAGGCACACACAGGTATGATAGGGCATAATATAAAAATGTTTTCATAAATGGTGCTGAGCATGGGCCCACACCGTTTCAGAGTCCCGCTACTGAATCTTCCTGAGTAGATTAGATCTGCATGCAGAACTTATGCTCATCATCTTCCGCGTTTTGCATATCCCGTCACTGGAAACACAGTGGTGTTCCTGCCTTATATGGATGGTTCTTTGAGTTTCGGAATTCAGTTGTTGCCCTGAATTGATATTGCCAAGTTTTGGCTTTGGTTTTCACGCCGTTTGTGTCGCACTGTTGCTTACCTCTCTGTGATACGACACGATACGTCTGTTGTTTTTTTGTCTGTCATTAACGGATTAGATTACAGTGTTCAACAGGTCGTGGTAAACTTTCTACGGGTAATCAGAACCTGATCAGATCCATTTCTAGTGCTCTATGAGTTTGATTGCAAATATACAACAAATATTTCCTTGTAGGTGTATGTTATGTGTGTGTGTGTGTGTGTGACCGCGGCTGTGTCTATTAGGTCCTGTTTGGAGCAGTTGTGCGTGAACTTTACAAGTGTGATTAAAACCACGTCTTTATTGCAGGTTTTAAAAGAAATTCGCTGGGTTTACTTGCACCTACACAATGTTTAGATATTTAAATAATCTATTTGGTGGTGCATTTGACTGAAGAAATAAGTCACACGTAACCCAATTCAGTGAAATCAGCTTTTGTTGTAATAACATCATTTGATCACTGCGCCCTTTTGTCTATCATCAACGCTGAGATATAACTTCGAAACTTCCCGGGCTGTCCTGAATTTCCAGTCCTTAGGGGTGACAAACGAGGAAGAATTGGATCTTCTATTCACATTTTTCATCATGCGAACCGATGCGACTCAGGGAAAAGAGAAGCCACCGCGAACAGCCCGAACTATTCGATTGGTCGAGCCGCATGGACCGATTCAACCGGAACCGGAAGAGAGTGTTGAATCTGAGAGTGAGTACGAATTTTGGAATCATCTCAGAGTGCTACCCTATCGGTCTTCATTATCAACAGGGCCAGGAAAGCACATTGTTGAGATCAGCCAAATTTGTTTGCCTCGCGGGGATTTTACTCTCAGGGGAGGGAATGGAATCGTCCAGAAAATAAACAAAATATGGTTAAAATAAACTTTAAGTGGCACTTTGTATAATCAGAAAGAAATTAAGTTTTCTCGTGTTATTTTATGTTTTCTATTTCGGGGATAATGACCAGGTACGATCCTAATGTACTTTTAGTGGTAGTTTTACAGCTTGAACTGTACTCTTCAACGGAATCTTCTTACATTCAGATATAAATTCTTGGTTTGTGCTTCTTTCTGAGGCTAGTGTCTGCGTATCCTCCTTGCACTTCAAGCATGATCATCCCAAATGATATGGATGATAGCCTCTTGATCCACATTCCTACTTACTTGCGTTCTATCTTAGTCAACCAGGGATAAAATTCTCAAATCCATTTTAGTTCAAATACACAATCCTTAAGTGATCCGAAAAAGTCAACACTTTCGTGTCGATCACCCGAATGGGAATCGTGGGGACTAGTGAGTTGTTGTGTGACCTCAGCACATAATCTTTGCCGTATCTAATCAGAATATCTCCGGATTCGCAGAGGTATCAGCCTAAGTACACGTTTTCAGTACGTTCAGTGAATTCAACATTCGTTGCAGAATGCATTCAGTAGACCAAGAAACAATAGTGCACAAGAGATTAATCACTTATGATGCATTTTTATTAGGTAATAGCGTTTGATGTCTTCGTGTGATTGCAAAAACTCATGGAGTACGGTACCACATGTAGTATGTCTGAAATTCCTGAATACATCTTGAAACTACTTGTCCAGTGATTTAAACGACCTTCCTTGAATCAACTGAGAGGTCTACAGTGTTCACTTACCCCAATGAAGTAGACAATTTGATAGCAATCACAGAAAGTCATTTTTGGTACTAAAATACAGTGCGTTTTCTATCGGGCAGGAAGTAAGCAACCTGACGGACTGTGATCACTCGACGGAACTGTTGGCGAATGTCTGTAGAGTGGGACAAATAGTTGTTCTTTTGGGAAATTTGGCCGGGCTTTGAATGCACACTCAGTATGGGGACTACTTAGTGGTATGTTTCTCAATTTGAAGCGAGCCATTTGTTTCTATCTGAAATGAATGAAAATAATTGAGGCATGCATTCTTAATGCACCGATTTTCAATCGATTTAGTTGTCGTTGTATTCGTTTGATGGACAAGAATATTTGGTGCAGAATTCGAGGATGCTGTTTTGGTTCGGCTTAGCATGTAGTTTGTTGTGTGGCCCTCCACAAGAAGAAGGATCCTACCAATCTAGAATGTTACCTAGAAAACTATCAAGTCATACGTTATTTATGCATTCTGCGCTTAACTTGTGATTTTCCGTTGCTCATCGATTACTCCAATTTCCTAAGTTCACACTATAAGGTAAGTAAACTGGGGTACGTAAATCTTCCTTGAGAAATCTTCACTTAAAGTGGACAAGAAAAACAACAGGAATTTCCTCAGAAGGGATCAATTTTTGAGATTTTAATCTGCTCATTTTGTGCTTGCCTCTAAGGCAGCTTTGTAACAAGATGGAACAAAACAACCAAATTAGAAACACTTCAGTCACTGCATCCGGTATCTAATCAAACAAGGTTTTTGATTATGTACACCCCAAACGAAAATTTGAGACATGATTCATCGCGAGAATTCTTCACACCATTTTCTTACGCTAAATTTTAACCTACCACTTCATTTAAATGGACGACCAAAATCCAGCAACTAAAACTGGAACATGAAAGTGCGTAGTCTTACAAACTGAACTGAACCTATAAGAGTTTACTTTTGTCCACACACGGTGCACGAAAATAGATCTCTTTGTGATAGTCACTGAACCGGTATTGTCAGCGTATGATAGAGCTATGGACAGCACCGAAGTGAGCTTAGAATTCCGAGGGTAGGGCTTTTCGGATCCCATCCCACTGGATGTAGTTTATATAAATGTTCTCATAAAACGTGGTTCGTGATGGGAGATGATGCCGTTTATCGACCACACTGGCAAATTTCTTTAGCAAACTGTAGTCAATTTTTAAATTCATGCAGCGCCATTGTGATACAGTGAAATTATGGTTTTGTCTCTGTTTCACAAATAGCTAAAGGCAGACGATTGGACTTTCGGTACCTGTGAGCGAATGTTCTCAACAGTATTCCCTGGGTTTCACACGGCTTACTAAATGAGCAAAGGGGTAGATGATATCAAACTGCACACATGAAGCGTAGGTCGCTGTTAGACGAGAACAATTATTTCGCATTTCTGCGACCCAGAGCACATCTCGTTTTGAGTCGTTTCAGCCACCAGATAGTTCAACAAAATATGTTGTGAGTTTAATTGGAAACCAAGCGATATGGTGTGATCTGCATATTCTAAATCAAATACTCTGTTACCACGTATAGCTGTAAATACTAAATTTCTGAACCAGGATATACTTCCTTGGGAATATCCTTCGAGGCACAGTTCGAAACAAACAATGAGATCGGAAACTTTTGTCGCACTCTATTTGACTCTATTTTAACACGCCCTCACTTCCTAAAATCAATCAGTAGTGTGCGATGGGTTTTGAATTCGTTTTCACTTGCATTGTCTCAAAGAAATCCTATCAGCTACACCTAAGGACACGAAAAAATTCACTACAATACCCATTGTCAAACCCGTTAATAATTCGAACAAATCTTTTCTAAACAGTCGGTGTGCGAATCAGTGCGGTGATTCGAAGTTGAGTGTCATTGTGTTGGACTTCACCTATCTCAAGAAATTCGACTTGAATCCCGCTTCCCCTAATGTTTTCAGTCATAGGCTAGTAGGACTGAGCTGAGAATTGAATATTTATGGAATTACATCTGGGATACAGGTATGTGGATGTCTTGGTCAAAGGTCACTGTATATGCAAGCGTGGTAAGTAGAAATAGTTGGGAAACTAGTAACATGCTTCCCGGGGAAACGTTTTCCAGTAGTTCAGATGTGACTTATAACATACATTTATATTCAACGTAGAAAGCACCAAATTTGGGATTGTTTCATAATTCCAAATAGGATTCAATGTCTTAAGAATCCGTTAAAATTTTTCACCAGAATTTTTCTCTTTTGAATAACCATTTTATAGTATTCTTTTACTAACACGTATTACATTACGACACGCACTCCAAGTGGCCAGATGCCATCGTGTGGATTGTCTACTCTGGGACTATGACGACCATAAACAGTAAACCCTCTTCAAAGAGGGAGATTCAAGATAAGAAGCACCTCTTATATATGAAGACATTAAGCAAGGTAACAACACAGGTTTCGCAAACATTACAGACATCACAGGGACTACAGCTTACGTCAACTAGTGTTTGTTTAGTCTAACTTTGATCCAATCCCCCCGTTCATCCTTGTCTAGCCCAGGTGGTCATTACACCTTCTCAGCCCGTGGACTCTGAAAATCACGTACAAACGGAAGAGGACAAAGAATCGGATTTGACCTCCACAGACGAGGCCGTGGCCACAGATGTGCCAACTGATGAACCAAAAGATATACCGCTTCTGCACTCAGAACCAATGGGACCGGTGAAGCGCACTTCCATGGGCGTAACACGGACGAATGACTACGGCACGGAAATTCTCGACTCGGTAAAGGTAATAATGAATGTGCTCCACCTTAATGGTAGCCTTTCGACTGCAAGGCAGACGACAAATAGTGTGCTGCATTGTGGTTGGAGCAATATATCCACTACCAAACTCTATTGATTCAATCTTCATGCAGGATGTGGTTTGAAGAATTGAATGAACTAATCCGCGCAGGATTTTCGTTACCGATATACCACTGCTACAGGTTTGTTTAAGAAACACAATTAGTTCTCAATTTCAGTTTGTCCAACCAATAACCATGTAATTTCGTGCGACTGTTTTGGTTGCTGCGTTTTGGCTGCCCATTTGGATTACGGCATAAAAGTAAGATGAGAAAAGTGAAGGCACAGCCAAAGAGGAAGTGGAAAATTCCAGCAGACTAAGGCTAACAAAATCAGTGCCGCAGTTTGATAACCGAAAAAACAAGTAGCTCAAACATGAATTTTACATGAATTTTGAAGAAAAGGAGGAAACCTTGCGACAGGAAGTTGGATAAAGGTGAAACAAAGGCTTTGGAAGTTTTGTTGTCATCTCCTCGTCGATATTTGAATTCCGGCGGTCTGGAAAACGCTTGCGTACACTGTTCTAGCAAGGCAACCTAATCAGTATTTGATTCGTTTTCAAGACACTTCTGTCGTTTGTAAGTAAGGCTTCGATTACCAATGAACATAAGTGCGATAATAATAACAATAATAATGTTAAACGTTGTTTACATTTTTGTCATTTTTATTATGATTGCAAGCATCGACATTGTAACATCGACATATCAGTTCAGTTCAACTTTTACAACCAATAACCCCGCAATTTTACGCGCCGGTTTTCATTACTGTCTCATGACTTCCCATTTGGACGAAGGAGTGAAGCATGATTGGGATGTTCAAATAAGTATCAGAGTGAAAATGGAGACTTCATTTTGGCTGATGTTTCAACAATAATGAATAGATGTAGAAGCGCCACTGTTTACAAAATTTAGCCATATCACTCAATGCATCCAACCACTGATTATGTTGTTGCCGATGTCCCCATCTAGGAAGCCTCATGCGATCTATGCGACTGAGTTCTTTGCTCAGGGTTTCCATACCCTCATCCCAGGTCTCAATTTGATCACTCTTTACTTTTTCTACCCTACACCTGCCTCGGCAAACAGCAAGCACTGTGGCGATCTATTTGTTGGCAAACCGATGTTAAATAATAATATCAATGTGTAACACATGTTCCAAACAAAACGGTCTATGGAGGTCGATCACATGTTCTAGTGGGCTACCGCGAATACCTAGGAAATTTTTATCTAACCTCGGTATTGCTTGACCGATTTCCTCACCAGCAGAGTAGCGTCATTTACAGAAACAATACTAACGGCATTAGTATCTATCTGCATTTGTGTTAATCTCTTTAACCGGTTTTCCACCTTAATATTTTTTTGTTTTGTTTTGATTTCTGCAAAAGCAACAGATGTGGTCTACGGAAACCCACAAAGATCCAGAAATAAAGCACACAAGTTTGAGTGATATGACAGAACTCACCCTGATGGCGGCGGAAGAAGAATTGATGGTTTCAAAATGTTGGAGTCTAATTGCACCGGTTAATGTGGTCAATGCATTGCATCAATTCACGATGGAGATGCAACGTCTTAGTTCCCGTTGTCCCGGGACCAATCGTTCTCGACCAGAAGCACCATCTGAATTAGAGCAATCGAAAAACCTTAGGTCAGATTCAAGACACAGTCAGAATGAGTCCAAATCAGTTGCGAGTTCATCCGGCATGCCTCAGAATGCCGGTTCAACTGGGGTGGAAGCAGACAAACGAGACGATGCACACGATGAAGCTTACTGGAATAGATACGCGTCAGTTTATCAAACGTTTCACATTACGTAATCTGAGGCCTCAATAAAAGTTTCCATGTTTTTCAATTGATTTGTTCAACATTCTCTTAAGCATTCTGTTTGACAAATATCAATGAAATGTTTCGACGAGTTTTATACTAGTGAACACCAAATGAAACAGATCGATGGACTCTATGCGGTAGCTTAGCTTTTATTACACACTAGTGTAAGATGAATAGCAGAAGGAGTATATGCCAGGACTAGCTAAGATTCACCCATGATCATCCCAGGGGTTTTGGATTGCGAACCACATAAGGCTCAGTTAGAATAATAGGTGAATCTCGTAACCAAGCATATGAGGGTTCGAACCTTTATAAGCCCGATGAATACACCTATTTAACTATTCCGACGAAGATTGAAACAACTTGAAGCTACTTCCAACACTTTTAAATGGTGACTTTTGGCAGTTCGTGATAAATTGCTGAATATGGGACGACCATATATTGATAATTGTTGTTTTTGCCATCAGCGTTAGGAAATGGGATTTGTTCATAATTGCCACTGTCCGTTTGATCTGTTTCACAAACAATGCCCAGGAGCATTCAGAGTTTGTCTTGAAAATAACAAACAAAAAATTTAATCCGAAATTAGAACTGGATGCGTAGTTTAACCCGCGAACAGTGTCCATCAAGGGAGATAAAATAACTCTGTTACAGAAAGCTCTACAATTAGAATGCTTGCATGGTTGTCGAAACCAGCTGATTTGAATAACCTACAGTGTAACGCATGACTCAATAATTCTACGCAAAATATTCATAAAATTCCACTATTAGAAAAGTTAATCTTCTCTGTGCATCAACAACAATCTGAATGGTCTGTTTAGTAAATGGAAGTGTGAAATAAATAAGAAATTAATCTGAAACATATAAAAGCTGTGAATTCTTTATCTAACTGAACCATGTGTTTCTACCAGAATACCGGCAAAATGGTTGCATGAGCCCATTTTGAACTCACGGATATACACAAAATCCCCGATGGATTTAACTCTGACTAGATAAATATGTTGCTTCCCGGAAATAATCTACGGACAAACACTCATCATCTATGGTAATTTTTATTTTATTTGACAAGCTCCCGATACAACGAAACGAGCACATATTTGCAGACTAAAGCGAAATAAAACAAACGATATTATCCCGATGATTTTCAAGACTCATAGACATCTAGTTTTCAAAGACAATGAGAGTCATTATTTGCCTAAGCTAGATTTGTCCCAGCATTCGTTTTTGTGCAACCTTATCATCACTATTTCTAATTGCTGGTGTTTTTACATCATTGTCCAGTCTGATAGGCATTGATCTGTACATAAAGTTACCTCAAATCACTTCTTTAAACTTAGTCACCTGGTTTTTACGAATGTATGTTCGTGAATTGAATCAGAAGTAAACAACTAAGCTCAACAGTATTATTATTTTCACGTATTGCTTTGAATTTGCTTACCCAGATACACTTTTCCCAAACTAATTTATTCTTCCCCCCCGGGGGGGGGGGGAGGTTATGGTTAAGCAGCGTCCGTCCTCTTCTTTTGCTCTGTACATTTCTTTTCACAGTGCCTATTCATTTGTGTTTTCCCCAGTGGACTATTACAGCGACACAAAATCTTTGATCTTGACCAATGATCCATTAGATTTAACACACAGACTTTCATCATGAAAATATAAGCCAGCCAAATCTTTGGAGATGCACGAAATTTCAGAAATTTTTATTTTCTACGAATTTTTATGTCGCAAAGCTTGGTGAGCAAACCAGATGAGCCGATCGTATCGCGCGTAGTTGACTGTTGCAATATGTGATATATTGCATGGCGGATACACTGATGAAAGTAGTTGGGAATGCACTTGCAACAACAAAGTTCATTGTTCTCAGACCACCAGGGTATCTACGTCTTTAAGTAAAATCATTTTTTTAAATGCGGCTAAGAATCATCAAGCTTCTTTTCATTGCACCGTGTTGCGATGTTTGTGAGGCACATTTAGGATAATCTTCCTTTGTCCCGTCTTTGTGCGACATTCGATATACCAGCAGGCTGTATTAGTACTCTTCGTGCCTAACCTACGATAAACAAATAAATGAAACCCCCATTGGTTTCATCAGCGTGGAAGGTCGACGGAGAGTAAACCGAATGTGCACCTAGAGGGATGATCTGAAAGATATTATCAAACATCTCAGCATTATGATAAAATATACCGTATTTTTACAGCTGGGAATCGGGACAACCGGTATCTGGATATTATAAAACAAACTTTCCTAATAAGTACATCTAAGTGTTTCTTTATCATGGTCAACCAATACCCCAAACACACTGAGGCAATTCAAGTTGAAAGATTTCCCAGGCACATTCAGCAAGACATCTATTGATCAATTGCTGTATGGACATCTTTGTTTGGTTCAGAAGCTGATCATCTAGCTGGGGGAATGTTACTCCAAAAGAGCAGAATATACTGACCGCTTACAGCGATCCGGTATTGCACCATCGAGGTTGTACATTGACGAAACTAACCATAACCTATGGTACTGTCACAACTATGGATGCTTCAAAGTGGTCCGTAAAGCAGTTCAAATTCTTCCGTCCAGTAAAGAACCTAACTGAAACATATTATATTCTTTTGTCGACGGTATCTTGAAGTGTGAATGTCACCCAACGAATAATTGGCATGCTTTTGCATCGATTGATGCCAAGAAACCAGATACTTCAGAAATCTTTATCATTACCAGTGCATCTGTTTATGGGAGGGCTTTAGATACACCATTGCATACCATCAATTAAATTAATTTCCTCTCACTATTCAGCTCCTGAGACTATAGATTTGCGAGTCGCGACTAAAACTTCTATGTCGAGGATAAGGCTTGTTGGCAGCGGTTGTAAGTGATTTATATCTCTCGCTTCAGTTAGGGTTAACAAGCAGCTACTTAAGCAACATAATTTGGCACATATTTGACAATAGCATTACCATAAAGAGAAAATCATGAACAATGACTTATTTTCGCAGCAATTACATTATTCTTTCTCCCTAAAAACTAACTCTTGTTCTATGCTCAATCGTTTCTCGGATAGGTCTCAAGTGGTCACGGAGGAGACTGAACAAATATGGGATCATTTGTCAATTGCACTGGAACGTTATTTGAGCATATTAAAGCATCGCGCCCAAGTGATCCGTGAGTCAGAAGCATTGCGTCGGCAAAACGAAGAACTGCGACACCTGCTACAACAGTATCTAAGTGCCAAGGTTTGTTAAACCCCAGTGGTTTGTTCATTCTCTGATCGTACAGTCCACTTTATTTATACCAGAGCCTATTTCGTTTTCTAATTTGTTAAGATCGTAATCATACTTATATTGATCGTTGCATCCACTTCTCTTGCACATCTTGATTTTATGCTGTTTACCACCATTGATAAATTTCGGTCTACCGCTTTACATCATTCCAAGTTTCAAGTCATATAATATAATGCTAACCAGAACGTAATCCGGAGTGTTGTTATGCAAGCTTTGATACATGTAGGCATTCATTCAGACATTATTATTTAATTCTCTTCCCTCCAAACGCATCATCTAAGCCCATGTATTTTTTTGACTCCGTAGTTGCATGTATCCCCCGAACCCCGAGCGTTCTCAAACCGTCCCTCATCATCATTGATGACATTGCTTGCCTAACTTTCAGTCCTTTAAATGCCTTTGATGAAACCACGTAGTATCGCTATCCACCTTTCCTTTTGACACTCTGCGATTGTCAGGCTTCTCAATAAATACTCCTCCCTTAGTTTGGCGATCTTTGGTTTATTAGGGTCTAGAACGGTTGCATGTATGCCTTCTTCAATGTTAGTAAAACCTCAGGGTGTACATCTATCTAGAACTTTGCTCCTCCACAATCATTTGAAACTGAACTTTCTTTTTTCGATAAGCTCACACAGTTTACTTGGGTTATCTTCTTCTGGTTCTTCGTCTTCATTCTCACCCTATTTTTATCAGCTGGCTTTAAGATCTGTGCACAGTTTAGATAGTCCCTTTTGTGTTCGATGTTTCTTCACTCATTCTCCTTTTCCTCACATTGAAAAATAAAGTGGGGTTGATTTGGCAGTTGATTGTGTGTAAAATAACGCATTGTCAACAACCGTGATCTGTTCCTCATCGCGTTCAAAGTAGAATCATTCTCCGTGACAGCGATCTGACTCTAATATTTAACTTGCAGTTATCGGTGAGCAGTAGATTTCTCATCCTCCTATTCTGTCCTTGTAACTTTTATTTAAATTCAACTACGACTTCCTGTTTCGTTTCTCTCTTCGTTGTGGTGGCCATACCAATTCGGTTGCTCAGCTAATAAAACCGATTTTTCCAAGTTGTCTCGTTTCTTTTTTTAAACTTGTTTTGGGCAAACAAATAAAATTTGGGACGCATTCTCTTTTTCTAGATTTCTATTCTTCCCCGATATGCTCTACAACATACTCAACTTCAAATGCAGAATCCAGAAGTAAACTAGTTCCACCTTGAATGTTCTCTTTCGAAAACAATAATCCTTCGATGTCAGCGCTCATCCCTTTTCGTGAGTTCGTTGTTGTGTGGTGTTAGAAATGGAGGTCATTAGTCTAAGGAGAATGATACAGGTTCTTTTGTCGCCCTGAAATCAATCCATAATCAAACATTGCTGTGATTTTTCCCAAAGAGCTACTGAGCCACTCAAACTATTTCCAAAATGGCCCAGATGGTTCTAGCTTCATCCGCTTATCGGTACCACTTATAGTTGATACTTTTCAATCCTGTTTCGAGATCCACAACATTTATAGGTAGAACCTAGGATTTCGGCTTATTTGTTGCTTGTACAAAGTGTATCTTAAAATAATACTGGGCTTGACATTGTTTTAAACAAATGGATATTTCTAATGAAACTAAGTTAAATAAATTTTATTGAATAATTTATTTATATACTTTTATTAATTTTATTTTTTATGTATTTTTACAGGTCAATTATGAATTGCAAGTACCCCCGGCGAGAACGTTGCAGTTGAACTGATGTTTGTGCAGGCATTCAGCGTAGTGATGCCATGTTTTGGATACCAATTTCGGCGAACATTAGTTGCTCCACAGGCCATTCAATTTTGAGAATCATCATCACCATCAACATCATTATTATGTGTTCATTATAAGTATATCTTGTCAATGCTAGGATGCGGAATGTTTAATACATCTCCATAAAAGCGGGTCTCGAGTGGTCAAACTCATCGAATTAGTGAAAAATAAAAATATAAAACAGACAGATCGTAGAAACAAATGTTCTTTTCTGTTCCCTTGCGTATGGCCATTTTATTGACTGATGCGCTTGATGCAAGTGTTGTCCGTTCAATTGACTCTCAAGCGCCATCGTTCCAATCCCGGATTGGCAGCAGGTGTTAAATTCCAATATCAATGCAAAATGTCGTGCAAATTTGACAAGTGTGACCACAAATTATTTGGAATTTGCTTGATTCTGGATGTTCCCCAGTCGGGGACTGCGAGGTTCACGAAATCGACGATTAAAGGTGCCGAGTGATATGGTTACCTGTCGTAAACATTGCCAGTCGTGCATCACCTCAAGCTATTTGTGTCCTTAGTCTTCTTGAAGTGCCCATTTTTATAGTGACTTCTTTTCTTAATATCCATCTTTCGTTCTTCTCTATCCAAATAAGTAACCAGGAGACTGCAATCAAAAACGAAAGTTCATGACTACTGATTGTGTAAACCGAAAGCCGGAAAATATGCGTTTCGTGCGCTATTCGTTCAACCACGTTCTTCCCTTCATTTGTTTTGCTAAACCGTATAATTTGAACCATGAAATTTTTCTCATGTACGGACGTGTTTGGTCGTGGGTTTAGAAAAAAATGATTTTTTCATCCGGATGATTTTCTCTGCTTTTAGCACAGATTTTAACTATTTTCAGAAACATGTACACCACGGCGCGCTTTATCCTAATCAATGGGTCTTGCTGCCTCACATTCCGTTAGGTTGAAAAATTGTTTTTTATATAAACTCAGTGCTTCTGACCTGCTTGCTGCACTCCTTCTGCTCCAGCAGGTGCACATTCGACGGGTGTCTCCCCCCCCCCGAAAACTGCAGACATTGGCACAGTATGCGCAACTGTTTCACGCGAATACAAGTTCCCATCAACGCTAAAATGCTTAAATACGGCACGTTCCCAGCTAGCTTTCAATGTGCGCGCAGTCATTGTCATTCTTCACGCAACCGCTTAGACAAGAGATCTAAACTGTGTAAACGTCAAGGTTTAAAAGAACGTTCCTCGACACTCAGTGCTTCGGTAACACTGCATTTTACAGAAGCATCGACACTGGACCGACAGAAACTCTTATTCACTCATTTTGATGTGCTATTGAACCTGTTCTCACTTGTAGTGTTGTTGCAATTCTGGTTGGTGACTTCCTACGCTTCTGAACCCAACAGGCTAGAGCTAACCGTTTCAAAATCTGAGTATTGGAACCTGAAGATGCGTTACCCATTAGGTTAGTGATAACTGAGATCGATCGACACCTGCTAGATCTCTCGGAAAATTTAGTCTAGACAACTGTTTTGAATGAAGAGCTCGAATTGATCATAACTAGAAATAAAATGTTTGTAAGTAAATTGCCAAGTAATACGGGCGTTGATCGAACTCAAGTGCTATCTATGACTCTGAATTTAGAAATATAGTTCCGTTTCGTATCTCATACTTACATTTCAACAGTTATGGGTGGAAGGCATTTATTCCAATAAACTGTTTTTTATCCCCCTTCATCGTTATTTGAAGTGGGGCCACATTGATTGCCTCGGAGCAATCACAAGTTACAGCTCAAGACGAGAAAATATTTCATGTGCAGAGCAGCACTGATGTTCATTCTTTTCAGCGAATTATTATTTTCCGGCGAGGCATTTCATTCTGGTCAATCTAAGTATGCTAAACTAGATTAAATTCGTCCATACGATGCAGAGTAAATACACCGCTCAATGATTATTTTTTCTATGAAATAATTTGAAAATTTTGTGTAAAAAGTCTTAATGTAAAACCTCTCGAGACGAGGCGGATACATATATATGCCGAGGAATGTAAAGAATGACCTTTGAAGGTTAACTTTAAGGTGTGCACCTGGGCGAATAAGTGTTTCATGATGTTACCATGCCCAAACGGAACATTCAAACGTTTCTCATGTACAAGTGGAGCAGAGAGACAAAATATTAGAGGCGCATAAACTAGATGTTTCAGTCCATAGCTTGTGGTGATGCTTCAATCCAAAAATAAGCTCAATTCATAACACACTGAAAGGAATTTCTCCAGGTTGACGCAAAGCGCAGGAATATACCCGATCGCAACGAAGCAAGACGTGGATAACATTCGACGGAAGCCGAAAAAAGGTGGAAAGAACCAATGGGATTTTCTTATGGCGAACAGGAGAAAATTATGGTTAAATTTTAATTTCAGCTAAAGAAAGCCACTATGATACTGGGAATTAAATACTGAGCGATTTGTTTTTGGACTGCCGTACGTTGCACCATGGATAAGGTTAAACCCATGGCATTAATTCGACAGGTTTTAATTGGCCGCCACTATCGAAACGTATTCAACAAAAGCCATACTTTCCCGAGATGAGGCTCAATGTCATATCGCATGCAAGATTGGTGATAGAAATGTTTTGAATTTCATTAAGTATCCTTTTCCCACATTTAAATTTAAATAGACACGGCCCAAAGTCAAATTATTTTCGGTTACCATCCAACAGATTTGAACGAAATAAAAAATTGCCCTTTTGAAGATAGAGCTGGAGAGTGGTGGTTTGGAGGGCAGAGTGCGGTTTTTCTGAAAGAAACTGACCAATATGATTTCGTTGCCAAGTTGGTAGATTCCATACTAAAACAACATGCCAAAGTGCCCAAGAATGAGGGAGGGGGCGCACACGGTTTCAACAAAATGAAATTAAAATTCCTGGCTTATGCTTACGAGCCATTTTTATAAATAAATTCGTATGATTTTTTTCCGTCTAGTTTTTATTATCTCACAAATGATGCGCCAGTAACCGCCGTCGAAATAGAGAAATTGTACTCTTATAGATGCGTCTTAGTAAGTGGGTACTGTTACACAGATTTTGTTGGTGTTGTTGAGTTCTCACAGTTGAAAATCTTGTTTGCAGACGTTTCGCAGCGAGGTTAGGCAACACTGTACTAACAGTACAGTGTTGTCTAGCCTCGCTGCGAAACGTGTTTTATAGTTGTATAGTCTGGCTACAGAATCATCGACGAACAACACTTCCAGCTGGAAGAAAAGACCATCATCCACATAACGAGCTACAATCACTCTACATTATTTCCAACACATATGTCGTGTTTTGGTGTAGAGTGATACCGTATTCAATTATGTGAATGAAGCTAGACGTGCTAGGCATTGGAAAGAAAAAAATATGATGATATTCATGGTGTCCCACGAGTTTGATTAGTGTGTAAATTTCGATTTCATAGTGATAGATCATGGGTTGGTAGTGTGGTTACTTCTCCCGATCACGAACCTAACAGATACCCTAAGCCTACCGTGGTAGATTTCTTCGATTCTGCAACAAATTCTTTGACTACAAGCGGGATTACAGCAAAAACCTATTCTTTTGAATTAATAGATTTGCGACTTCTTTCAACACTGCATACGCAAGTGCGTACGTGAGTCAGTAGCCCAGCGTACTCCATATATCGTGACAGTATCACGTATATCGAAATTGACCATGAGAAGCTAGTTTGTTGAAAGTGGCCACAAGGTAGACCCTGAAAACATGTTTTTATTTTTTTCTTCATTAATTACTCAAAACAAACCAACATTGTTTCAAAAGTGTATGTCCTTTGTCATTGGCATAAGCTGGCTTAAATTCATCATGTACAACCACACATACAACCAGCACCTGACCAAACCTTCACGTTTTCAAACGGTTCCGTTATGACTGCAAGTGAACCCAACCAATTCGACACAGAAACAGTATGGGAAGACAGGTTCTCAGTTGAGGGGTAGAAAAAACGTGTGATCAATTGACCAATATGATGCACTGAACGGAAATAGATCGAACCGCACGCACCTCTTTCGATGTTTGATGAAAGGTCGAATTGTGATTACTTTGTACCGGGTGTTTCCAGGGCTACTCAGAAGCGGTAAGTGCAGTATTCGACCCACGGTTTTTGTGCCATTGACGTTATGGATAGTCACTCCGGGAGTTGCAGAGAGAAAATGTAATTTCGGTTAGCTAGGGAATGAATGAATGAGTTGATATTCCTGATACTGTGAATTATATCTTGCAATTACAGAAATATGTATGCAATTGCATTTGGCCTAAAGGAATCGTTGTTACTAGAGGGGACGCCTACCTCAATGGCTACTGCGGCCTAGACTGAACCCACTCATTCAACAATTCATCCAAACATGCATGCCTTGGCATGGTAACCGATTCATCGATCCGTTTTGACGTGATTTGCTCCCTTACTCGACCGACCGAGGCCAATTTCCATCAGGTTTGTCCATTCTTTTCACACGATCAGCGGTCAAGGACATAACGTCCCCGGTTGGGGTAGGGTGGGGGAAGGATGAACAGTCAAACCCCACCTCACAAACTTTCGTTCTCGCTAGGTTACTCATTCAAAAAGTATTTTTGTTTGTCTATGGAGAAATCAGTTCACTCCGACGGGACGGGTTTTGATAGACCCGGTCCAATTGGTGTTGCGTGACGACAGAAGAACCAATCACTTTGATGTGTTCCTGGTAGAATGCGATTGGTTAGATTCACTTTCAGTTGCAACGGATTCATTTGAAGTTTTATAATTTAAGGAGTTCTAAAACTTACTCATATTTGTCCATCTTGCCATGCATTAGCGACCGATGACTATCTACCATATGAACTCCTCTCATAGTATTTGTCTTTTAACTTGTCTCAGGTCTGCATCTGCCTAGATTTCAGATTTCTAGTTCCCTTGAATTTCGTTTCGTAGAGATTTGTGAACATTTCCAGCTGGAGGCCAACA